TAAAAGAATCGGAAATAAATCGAATTGTGGCCCCAAGAATCGATTCTAAATCGAATCGTGGGAATCCCAAATATTCACAGCCCTACTGATTGTCCCTCGTGTTGTGGCGTGGAATAACCTAGCGCAGACCACGCTTCACAATTGGGCATAAATCAAAAATCTGCATCATAGCTGCGACAAGGTCACTGCAACACACTCCTGCGGGAGGATAACCAGCCCTTTAGAGTCGGTTGATCAACATTTTGCAAACTTTTGAAATGAAAATTGCTCCTCTGTTATGTGGAACGGAGCAGGCCCAAATACAGAAGCAGAGAAATGCATTAGTGGGTATACCAAACTTCAAAAACATTCCCTGTTTTTCCTCCATAATAGTCCTAAGATGTAGATTTTTAAAGTTTAACAGACGTTCAGCTCAGCTTCCAATGTGCGTGTCTCTACAGAGAGTCAAAGTAACACACAGATGGCCGCTGGCCTCCAGTCAACTGAAAGGAAGCTGGAAAGACACAAAAAGGAATAAAAAGAACGATAAAGTTACCCCCGAAAAAAAAAAAATATATTTTTTTTTTTTATCAATTTAGCATGAAGTTGTAAGCATGTTGCATTATGCAGGGAGCTTCCACAGAGGAGTTCCTGAGGATCTAGTTAAAGCTGGCAGCTACAACAGTGCTCTGTTCGCATGAGCGAACATCAGTACAAGTGTTCATTGCTCCTGAGATTTCCTAGCAGAGTTATCTCCCTTACCTCACAATCTGACAGGAGGGTACAGGCCATTAAAAATACTGATTAGCCAGACCCGAACCCCCCCACTACACACACACACCCACCATTAACATCTTATAACCTCCCTCCCCCCCATCAATATCGACCCCGTGTGAATCACCCTGAGCTACAGCAGCATCATTTACCTTCATCTGACCCCAGGCATTTGAAAAGCATTAATCACCTGTTTTTATGCCAGCTTGTTGGATGTGTTGAAACTGGATGTGTAATTTGTTACACTACCAGGATCCAAACACCGTCTAAGTGCAGGAGAACCGCAGAGAATAACCTGTGCTCTCTCTGATTACACAGCCGCACTTAAAGCAATAAAAAAAAAACACACATCTTTAAACCAAACAGGCATGCCAACCTTTTTTTTCCTTTTTAAAAAATCGTCTTTATTTTGGTTCAGTCAACAGTTTGTTCATTAAAAAAATATCACTATATATCTGTTGAATTATTGCTCATAAACATCTCTGCTTTCTAAAAACAAACCTGCTCTATACAGTGACAATAATCCCTTGTAAAAACATCAGTCTAAAAATAGAAAAACAGCTACGATAACAACATAATTATCAGTTTAATTTGATCTCCAGCAACACATCTTGCTCTCACAGATTTAGCACCCCAAACACACATTTCTTTAGCTAGTTAAAAAAAAAAAAAAGTGTTCAGTGTCTCTTAACATGACTTTGCCTGGAACACAATGGCGCCTCTGTGCACGCCAGCTCTGTGTCCTGGAAAGGTTTTACACAAAAAAACGACACCTGAGATTTCAAGCTATAAAGTGACCTCCAGAGACGCGCTTGTATTTATAGCTCTGTAAAGTCCCAGCAAAATAAAAAAAAAAAAAAAAACATTCAGAAACTTTTGCTCATTTACTTTCATCACTTTTTATGCATCTGCAATAAATATTTACCAGGAGCCTGAAGCGGACATGCTCAGCTCAGAGATGGAGGACCCTAAAACCTCATAAATGTGCTCATTAACAAGATCTAATCCATTTTTTTTATGTCGGGCTTCTCAAACTCTGGTATTTGTGTTGCCCTTAGCTTTACTCAGAAGAAAATTTAGTATTAATTAGCATACTTGCAGAAAATATATGAACAAATTAGGTGAGAGGCATCAACGGTTAAAAAAAAATAAAGATGAGATGTTTAAGCAAAGTTTAAGCAAATTAATGTTTGTTTTGAACTAAAACATATTAAAAGACAGCAAGCAGCTGATCAGAAATCCAGAAAAAGATTTGGAAGTCTAGTAGCATTAGCGTAGCAATAAGGCTAACTACAGTTAGCAACAAGGTATATAGCTAAGGTATATTTTATTGCATTTTATTCCTTTAAACCCTTCTCCAGTGCTTTTGCTGATGGAGGTCATATACATGCTCACTACATTCATACGTTTGAGGGCAATTTAACAAATGTAAAATTGTCAGAAGCGCACCAATCTCTTAGCAAGGTAGCCATATTGGAGAAGCCATATTGGAATTTGAGAAACTTGTGATTTTTCCACCCAGTATTCCACCATCTAGGGATATATCGGTCATATTTTGGTAGTTTAATCTTGGAAATTAGGTGTTCACTTTAGTTATCCTTGAATATTTAACTAAACCACGTCTAATCAAGTAGAGTCAATCACAACCATGCTAGTTTGTCTCTTTCAGTAGAAATGCATAGAGATAATAAAAAAAAATGTCTTGCAAAGAAATAGAAACTAAACCTTTTCAGCTCAATTGGGTCTGAAAAATAATGTACTAGTTGGGAATTTAAAATTTAGATTGTTTGAGATTAGTAATTGCCCCAGATTAAATACTTCCATTGGTAGGACAATGTCGTAGTAGCTACTGAGGGAAAAAAAAAACACTCAAAGTTATCAATTTTGGGTCTAACTTAAGAGTAAAATTATGTTTGAGGGAGCAATGTAATAAGTCTAAGAAGAACAATTATCTTGAAATATGTTTTAAGTTTATACAGGCTGCGATGGAGAGAAAGAGACTTTAGGGAGATAACAAGAAGGCTAAATAGAACACAGCACTCTCATCTGTGTTTTTTTCTATCTGTCATAAAACATGATTGAATTGGAAGTTTTGGCATAAGGTTAGGATCTATATTGTCTAACTTGGGTTTTAGTGATGCTAACAATGCTAATCGCTGGAAATGTAAATATAAGCCATAAGTAGTAGATCTTTACAGGTCTGTATGCATTAACAGCTCATTTTATAAAATCTATAAGCCAATCTAAATAATGCCAGATCCAAATATGGTCCATTAGTCTCTATAAAATCTATCTTTTACATTTTGTGAACTCGCATGCAGGTAAACGCTGCTTCAAGCAGATGCATATATCTGTAACTAAAAACAAATGGGTAGCGTAGGTGTCTAATTCGTACATTTAAGTCAATATAGATAACAAAATGCTAAATTTGTATTTTCATTGGTTGTCGTCATCATCAGATGCTTAATCTGTGAGAATAAAAATTTGGAAGTTACAAGAACAAATCGCAAATTTACGAATATGGATCTACAACCCTTGATGAAGCTGTTACACTCCTTGCCAGTAGGTGGCAGTAAAGCAGCTGAAGGTTGTTCACCAACAAATATTAATAAGAATTACAGAAATGGAACATAAAACCATCAATGTTATATCTTTGCAGAATTTTTTTTGATACACGCAGTAAAATGTTTTTTAACTCTTGTTTAAAAAGCAGCTGGTATATAAGTTTAGGGTGCATGATCGCCACCATCTGGCAAGGAGTGTAAAAGATTCAACAGGCGTAGATTCGTTTTGTACGCTTGTAATTCGTCCTCATATTTTTGCTCATTGTAATCTTACGGATGTGGATCTGATGTATCCATGAGCTGACGACTAGGAACGTTTATTTACATTATTGACTTACATTTACAAACCCAGACATCTACACATCTGTTTATAATGACAGTTATCTTACCCTGTGCTGCGGAGATGACATAACCATCAGCAAAATAAGCTGGAGTATCTGCACATTTATATGCTTTAGAGCAGTGAGGAGAGCAGCAGCCATAACTCTCTCTAGTGGTCTGTTTTCTTATTTTGTGCTATGTTTATATTAATTATTAATGTTAAATTGATTAAACAAATAAATTTTACTGCTGCTTATACTAAAAAAATCTCTTTCACACTTGTGCACCTTACTGGGAAAACATTCTAGGGTGAAAACATGGCTATCCTGTGATCATTGTTTGTTTCAAATTGTAAATAAAAAAAAAAAGCTAACACCAAGAAGCTCTGTGGGTCACTTCGACTCTATGGAGTCACAAAAGGTTGTTTGTTTTTCGCTCTGGATATAATGCAGGTTTAGCAGTGGTTTAAAAAATTCTTTCAGCAATGCTTCCCTCTGAACTCCAAAACTATGGAGTGAATTTTGTCCCATTATTGTTGCAAAAAACACCTTTTGTAAATGGAAATTTAAAGAATGAAAGGAAAACGTAAAAAGAAAAGAGCAAATTTAATTGAAAAAAAAAAAAGTTACATTTTTATATATTTTTTTCTAATTTTTTTTATAGGAAATCTGTATAATGTAACTTGAATAGAATGCAATTAAATAGTAAAACTCAATCTCAAAAAGAGAAATTAAGAAAAAAAAATTTGGAAAAAATGTTTAAAAAAAATAAAATATGAAAAATTTAAATGTCGAAAAAATTTAACCTGAGAAAACTACAAAGTCACTCTTAAAACCCTTTCTTATCAAAAAGCTTCTCAAATTTGTATTTCTGGATTGTATTATTTTTCAAATTTTCAGTGAAAAAGCATGCTATTCGATTTCAACAATAATGGAACAAACTTCCCTCCATACAGCGAAGCAGCACAAAAGATCCTGGGAGCAACAGTTACGGCGTTGGGTTTGACTCAAGCAACAACGAAAACAAATTCAAAAATCTGCAGCACATTCATTTTTGCCATCCAGTGTCTGTGAACCCATGGCAGTTCGGGGTTAAAAAAAAAAAGTCTATAATTATACAAAGAAAAGAAAAACACAATCAGCAAACATTTTAAACCAAGTTAAATTCTATACATGGTGATCCCAGCCTCTTAATCAAGTTTGACATTCATCTAAGGCAGCTTTTGTCTCGGGCTGCATAGAGGATGCTGTTAGACAGCTAGAGGGAATGTGAGTCATCCAGTGTCGCTCCGTACACAAACATAAAAATAAAAACATGACGCCGTACCCTTATTCATTCCTTTTGTTTTGTGAATGACTGCAGTGACCCATCATGAAAGATTGATTCTTTCATTATATTAACAAGGCCATAGAATCTAAGACTGTATATTAGAAACATCCCAAAAGATGCATCCAGTTCTGCTGAGTGCTCACTATCTGCTTAAATCTACAATAACTGTTAGGATTTAAGAACAGAGGAGGATACAGAACTAAAGGTGACCTGGAAGAAGCAGAAAAATACAGTTTTCTTTGCCCTCTGTACCCTGCAGTGGTGTTTCCATGACGTCTAAAACGAGACATCGCTTTCATCAGTCAAATATAAAGAATTAGTGAAACTGCGGCGGTGCGTAGGTGTTCCTTATGAGGGGAGCATTGACTTTCGAGTCTTCGGAGGAGGTGGGGGAGGCTTGCTCTCAATTTTCACAGGTAATGGGGGACTGAACTGTGGGGGGGGCAGAAGAAGGTTTGTGTTAAGACTAAAATAAAAAAAATTTTTTTTTTTCACATTTACTCGTCATTAAATATGCATTAAGGAGGAGCTGACTGAGCAGACGTACCTCTGTAGAGATAGCAAAGTTGTCAATCTCGTGCGGATGTTTCTTTGGAGGCATGGGTGGGGGGGTCCCTGGGGTGTCAATAGTATTGGCATCGTTGTCGCTGAGGAGTGATGAATAACCTAGTGGGGGTGGGGGGGATAAAAAGCTCTTCAGACCACATCCATCTGTTACTATGTGTGACCTGATTAGCTCTGCAGACCAGAATATGCTTACACACCGGAACGTCTACCAGATTCCCTCTTTTTTAGTGTGGAAAGCATAAAGTTTAAGAGCAAGAAAAAAATGAAATAAGAAAAAGATGGTGGTTCTTCTCAGAAGATACGTACTGGAGCTGCGCGGCGTGTTCGCCGAGTGCGGGGAGGCGGGGAGAGGGCTGAGTTGGTTAGACAGGCTGAGCTGGGATGAAACGCCGTGGTAGAGGGAGAGGGTGAGCCGTCTGTCACCGAGCTGTAAACTTTTGGGTCGCTGCTGCTTCTCTGGAGAAACCTGAGGAAAACAAAATGGAAATCCAAGTTCACCAGGAAAGTTTGTTTAAATTCAAAATTATTGAAACAATCTCAGTTCAGATGAATGAAAACGACAGACGGTTATTAAAACTGAACCCACACAGACACCATACAGATCTACTGAGCCCCCTTCACTTCTATACCTCTAAATAAAATCCACTGCTCCCACCTGCCTTCAGACTTCAGAGGGAAATACAGTCCGTCTGCGTTTAACTCCACCTGAACCTTCTAGAGGTTTTCCTCTCAGAGGAGAACCCAGAGTGGACCCAGATTCTACTGAAGAGACCAGCAGAGACTCTCAGAATGGAGGGATGGCCTGAAACTGTTCACCTTCAAACCTCATCAGCCATTCATTCATTTATTCATAGATGGATTCATTAATAGATTCAATTATTTAGTTTGTGGATTAATGGATTCATTAATGGATTTTTTTCATTCATTAACAGATGAATTAATTCATTAATAGATTCATTCATAGATGGATTAATTCATTAATGGATTCATTCATTAATAGATGGATTTATTCATTAATGGATTCAATTATTCATTCATTCATACTGGGATGAATTCATTTAACCTTTCATAGATGGATTCATTTATTAATGGATTAATTCATTCATTAATAGATTCATGTACACTGTCCCCTTTCAAATAAACAATAAACAATAAAAATAAATAAATAAATTCATTAATGATTCATTCATTCATTAATAGATTCATTCATTAATGGATTCATTCATTTATAAATGGACTAATTCATTAATGGATTCATTCATTCATTAATAGATTAATTCATTAATGGATTCATTCATTCATTAATAGATTAATTCATAGATGGATTAATTCATTAATGGATTCATTCATTTATAAATGGACTAATTCATTAATGGATTCATTCATTCATTAATAGATTAATTCATAGATGGGTTAATTCATTAATGGATTCATTCATTAATAGATGGATTTATTCATTAATGGATTCAATTATTCATTCATTCATACTGGGATGAATTCATTTAACCTTTCATAGATGGATTCATTTATTAATGGATTAATTAATTCATTCATTCATTCATTAATGGATTCATTCATAGATGGATTCATTCATTCATTAATAGATTCATGTACACTGTCCCCTTTCAAATAAACAATAAAAATAAATAAATAACCCTATGGATGGATGGATGGATCCGATGGATGGATGATGGATGGATGGATTGATGGATGATGGATGGATGGATGGATGATGGATGGATGGATGGATGGATGGATGATGGATGGATGATGGATGGATGATGGATGGATGATGGATGGATGGATGATGGATGGATGATGGATGGATGATGGATGGATGGATGGATGGATGGATGATGGATGATGGATGGATGGATGGATGGATGGATGATGGATGGATGATGGATGGATGGATGATGGATGGATGATGGATGGATGGATCCGATGGATGGATGGATGGATCCGA